ATAACAATGTGAGTAAAACAAGCATAACAATGCAAGTGAAGTGTGCATAACAATGTAAGCAAAACGAGCGTGACAACACAAGTAGTGAGTGTATAACAAAGCAACGAGTGGTGTACATAACAAAAGCAAGAGAGAAAAGTGTGCATAACAATGCGAGAGTGGTATAACTTTGCTAGCATGCCTTGAAACAAAATGTCGGTTAAAGAAATACAAGCCTTAACGAGACTAGTTTAAACGAAACCTCTGATTTACCTCTCGGATGGGTCACAACATACTTAAAAAGGATACACCTCCCTCTTTGACGAGTTGCGATGAGCCACGCATCGAAGACTTGAATTGAAGTTCCCATGGGGACGATTTCACGTTGAAAAGTGTACCTTCCTTGTACTTTCCCAAGAGCCGAGGACTCCAATCACCACCAAAACACACAGGGAGAACAATGGAGCTCTGAAGATCATCCAGGAGGCTGGCCGACTAGTCATAGCAGTGGCCGACCAGTTGTTGACCACCAAAGTGGTCGGCCGACCAGAAAAACTGGCTGGCCGACCAGTTCACAGAATCCGGGGCAGTTTTGTCGTTTCAAGGCTGGATCTTTAAATGGATAGCTCCAAATCACTTTTGCTCACACCTCCAAGGCCGACATACATTTCTCTCCATCCCTAGACCCTTTTCTCTCTCAGATTTGCACTTTATATGCGTTTTCCAACGCCCCACGCGAAGTTGTATCGCGAAAACTTTTGATTCTCTTCGTTTTGAACCGATTAGAATTTGTTTTCGGATCTTCTTTTTCCATTTCCACCACTTGGGGTAAGTTTCTCTCAAAGTTTAGCACCTTTTCTCGGGCGTTGACTTTTTCTTTTCCCGAGAGTTGACTTTTGTTGACTTTTTGCAATTTTGGCTCATTTCGCTCGTTTTTGCTCATTTTTGCAGATTTCTTCATATGGCCAACGATATTCCATATGGCGGAGGCTCCTCGAGGGTAAAGGATGAGCCCAACGTTATGTTGTTGCCTCGAAGGATATGGCCGTTCGACCTGGAGAAGTACCGCCCGCGGGAACACATCTTACCTCCTAGCACCTTCCATCATTTTACCGACTTCGCGCTGTGAGCACCTGTGGACTTATTGCTACGGGAGCCTGAGTCCCACCTATCACATCATGCGCGCGAGGTGCGTACTTCACTTTTACATTTTCTGCAATGTACTTTGCATGCTCGTTCTGAACACATTTATATACACAACATTTCTGCTCACTCTTGAACATAATTCGCACACAACATTTTGTCCACTTTGCACACAGCTTTCAACGTAACACTTTGCTCACTTGGCACGCAGCTCACGAAATAATATTCCATTCCTTTGGCACACAGCTCACTACGCAACACTTTGTTCGTTTGGCACGCAGCTCTTTCGGGCACACAGCTCATTTTGGGCACACAGCACATTTGGGCACGTAGCCCATTTTGGGCACGCAGCACATTTGGGCACATAGCACATTTCACTGCTTAATCTAAACACACAGTTCATAACACAGTTATTTTGCTCAATCTGAACACACAGTTCATAACGCAGTTATTTTGCTCAATCTGAGCACACAATCCATAACGCAGTTTTTGCTCAATTTGAGCACACAGTTCATAACGCAGTTTTTGCTCAATCTGAACACACAGTTCATAACGCAGTTTTTGCTCAATTTGAACACGCAGTTCATAACGCAGTTTTTGCTCAATTTGAACACGCAGTTCATAACGCAGTTTTTGCTCAATCTGAACACGTAATTCATAACGCAGTTTTTGTTCAATCTGAACACGCAGTTCATAACGCAATTTTTGCTCAATCTGAACACGCAGTTTTTGCTCAATCTGAACACGCAGTTCATAACGCAGTTTTTGCTCAATCTAAACACGCAGTTCATAACGCAGTTTTCTTTTAATTTGTGCACAGCTAATAACACTGCTCAATCTGAACACACAGCTCATAACACATCATTCTTTTAATTTACACACGGCTCACAACACTGCTCAATCTGAACACATGGTTCATAACGCAGTTTTTGCTCAATCTGAACACGCAGTGCATAACGCACTTTTTGCTCAATCTAAACACATAGTTCATAACGCAGTTTTTGCTCAATCTGAACACACGGTTCATAACGTAGTTTTTGCTCAATCTGAACACAGAGTTCATAACGCGGTTTTTGCTCAATCTGAACACGCAGTTCATAACGAAGTTTTTGCTCAATCTGAACACGTAGTTCATAACACAGTTTTTGCTCAATCTGAACACACAATTCATAACGCAGTTTTTGCTCAATCTAAACACGCAGTTCAGAACGCAGTTTTCTTTTAATTTGCGCACGGCTCATAACACTGCTCAATCTGAACACACAGCTCATAACACAACATTCTTTTAATTTGCACACGGCTCATAACACTGCTCAATCTGAACACACAGTTCATAACATAACATTCTTTTAATTTGCACACGGCTCATAACACTGCTCAAACTGAACACACAGCTCATAACACAACATTTTTTTAATTTGCACACGGCTCATAACACTGCTCAATCTGAACACACAGCTCATAACACAGCATTTTGTTTAAGTTGCACATGGCTCATAACATAACATTATGTTCATTCTGAAACTGAATACATTTATTGTTTCTACATGCAGATATCTTCCCGTTTCACACGAGGTTACGGATTGATCATTGCTAGGGAGTGGTACATGGAGCTCCCAGATGTTGTTCGACATATTGTGAATGAGGCAGGGTTTGGCCCATTTTGTGCAGGACTGTCGTGTCATCCGGCGAGCAGGACCCTTCTGGGTGTACTTGTAGAGAGATGGTGGGACACGACCAACTCCTTCCATTTTTCTACCACTGGGGACATGACGATGACCCCGTATGACTTCTCCATGTTGACGGGCCTCGACATGGCAGGCCGGCCGGTCCTATACGATGCGGACATGGGTGAGTGGGAGGCGGCTTGGACTTACTTGCTTGGAGCTCATCCGCCGCCTTGCAGATCACCGGGCATAGTTAGGTACACCAGGTTTGCGGAGCAGTATAGATGGACTACGCCCGAGACTATTGAGGCCATACAGCAGTATGCCCGGGGATTTTTGATGTTCCTCCTCAGGACCACTCTGTTCTCCGTTAGAGGGAACACAGTCGGGCTTTATTTTCTCAGTGCTCTGGTAGACCTATCACAGGTCCGACACTTGGATTGGGGCAGCGCTGGCCTCGCTACCCTTTACTACTACATAAGTGCGACCTCCCGAGAGTGGGGAACCATAGTAGGTGGCTACTGGCGAGCCTGGGAGGTACATTCTGCTCTCTTGATTTACATTTCTGCTTTTCATTATCTATACACTGCACACGGCACAAATTACATTCTATACTCTACATTCTGTACTCAGCATTCTGTATTTTCTGTATATCCTGTATTCGCATCCTGCACTCAGCATTCTGTATTTTCCATACATTCAGTATTCTGGCAGCCACTGTCTTGCCTTTCACATCTGTGGGTTTATGCCTACTTCCCGACACTCGCCCCTAAGCTCGAGGTCGAGGCATCTCTCGAGATCCCTTATTCACGCAGATTCGATGGTCGGTGCCGGTCTAGGCCCTGGGAGACTCTGTCATATTTGAGGCAGTACTTCGATACCGTCCGGGTGACTAAGGTAAACCAGAACTCTCAGTTCTTCAGGCTTTCAGCTTTGATTTATCTTGCATATTGTAGACGTCCCCGAACGCTCCCGGGAGGGTGAGCTCCCGTTCTGTTCATTTGGGGTCACTACAGCTCAGGACTCTTCAAATTGTCACGGTTCTAAATCTAAACCAAAGAGTCCAAATCCGGCAAATCGTTTTGAGAAAACAGATTTTGAAAGAAGTGCCAAACATGGACTGCTTTGCCAGATACAGAGTCGCCACCTAAATATTTTATTTTGGAAGAAATTTGGGAAACCCTGACTCGTTGCCTAAGGCCACGTTTTCGTCATCACCAAAGTTGCCTCGGCTCGGGAACTTGGGTACGATTGGGGAAGGGATAATTCTTTTCATGGGGTTTAAGCTGACGTGAATCATAAGCGATAACTTTCCCATTTTGCATAAGTACACAACCTAGCCCTTTATGAGAAGCATCAGTGTAGATCACAAATCCTTTAGTACCAGATGGTAAAGCAAGAACCAAAGCTGTGGTCAACTTCATTTTTAATTCCTGGAAAGCAGATTCCTACTATTCTGACCATTCAAACGCGACCCCCTTCTGAGTCAGTTGTGTAAGCGGTACAGCGATTTTGGAAAAATCTTGGACAAACCTCCTGTAATATCCTGCTAACCCCATAAAACTACACACCTCAGTCACATTGGTAGGAGTTGGCCAATTCACGATCGCCTCAATTTTGTGTGGATCAACGGAGACTCCTTCCTTTGTTATTACATGCCCCAGAAATGCCATCTCTTGTAGCCAAAATTCACATTTCTTCAGATTTGCATATAGTTTCTTTTCTCGAAGTGTTTGAAGAATTAAGTGAAGATGATTCTCATGAGCTTCTGCATTCTTCGAGTAAATGAGGATATCATCAATAAAGACCACCACAAACTCATCCAAATAAGGCTTAAAGACATAGTTCATCAAATCCATAAATGTTGCTGGTGCGTTAGTAACTCCAAGGCATAACCAGAAATTCATAATGACCGTACCGGGTTCGAAAAGCTGTCTTCTCAACATCATCAGCTTTGACCTTCAGTTGGTGGTATCCCGATTGTAAGTCAATTTTCGAAAAGACCTATGCCCCTTGTAGCTGGTCGAACAAATCATCGATACGTGGCAGTGGGTATTTGTTCTTGCTAGTTACCTTATCGAGTTCCCTGTAATCTATACATAACCGGAGTGTTCCATCTTTCTTTTTCACAAACAGAACTGGTGCACCCCATGGGGAGACACTCGGGCGAATGAACCTCTTATCCAGTAGATCTTGCAACTGAGTCTTTAATTACTTCATTTCAACTGGTGACATTCGATACGGAGTTTTAGAAATGGGTTGGGTTCCCGGTATCACTTCAATTGTAAATTCAATTTCACGGTCCACTAACTCCCCCGACAATTCTTCTGGAAAAACATCTGGAAATTCACAGACAACTGGAATCATGTCGGTACTCCCATTCGTCACTTGCCTCTCCAAAACACTGCATAAATACCCCTGACACCATTTCTGAATTAATTTACAAGCCTTTGCTACAGAAATCAAATAAGGTGGAGAAGCCACTCCATGTCCCTGAAAAGTACATTCTGATTGTCTCGGAGGGTGAAAACTAATTTGCTTAGTCAAACAGTCAATAGTTGCACCATATTCGCTCAACCAGTCCATTCCCATAATAATATCAAAACTAGTCATATCAAGAGGTAACAGATTAGCATATAGCCGGATATCCCCAATTTGAAGTTCGCAAGCAAAATAAACAGAAGTACAGATCATAAAGTCTTCCAAAGGTGAAGACACACATAACATATAGGATAATACTTCTTCAGATCTATCTAAATTTTGAGCAAATAGTTTTGACACAAAGGAATGGGTGGAGCCAGAATCAAACAATACATGAGCAGAATGATCGTGAACAATAAAAGTACCTGACACTACTGTTGCAGCGTTTTGCACATCTCCTGGAACCAATGCCAACACCCTACCTTGTCTTGCGGTGTCTTTATTGTTAACAGGTTTGGCGGCTGACTTGGTAGTGGGAGTTGGTGTAGACCCCGCAGAACTTGTAACAGTTCAATTGCCATTTTGCTGATTCCTTTGAGGGCAATCCCTCACCAAGTGACCTGTTTTGCCACATCGAAAACATGCTCCAGACAACCGATAACAAGTCCCACGGTGCTTCTTTCTACATGTTGAACAAACATGAACTGAGTCCGGAGTAGGGGTAGAAGTACCAGAAGTCCCTGAGTTTTGTTTCTTGTTTGGTGGAGTGACTGACCCTCTTGGCAATTGATTGTTCTGCCTCTTTCCTTTCCATTCAGAAATCCGATTCTCAGCAACAAGGTTTCCTTCTGCTATAACAGCCATTTCCAACACATTGACATAGGTAGGTAACTTTAACATGTTAACTCGGTCCAGGATAGCACCCCGTAATCCCCCTTCAAATTTTCGTGCCTTCTTATAATCTGTATCCACCATATGAGGTGCAAACCGGGCTAATTCTGCAAATTGAGCTTCATACTCTGCAACAGTTTTATTCCCTTGTCTCAAGGTCTCAAACTCGGTCACTTTCTTATCTCACATACACTGTGGAAAATATTTGTAAGAGAAAAGCTCCAGAAATCGGGCCCAAGTCAATCCTTGGTGTTCATTTCTCGTAAGCATCCACCATCTACGTGCTTCATCTTCAAGAATGAAAGCGACAAGTTGTACTTTCTGGGCTTTGGTGCATGGAAAGACGCAAACAACTTTTCTATGCCCAACACCCACACCTCTGCTTTTATTGGTTCAATCCTCCCCTTGAACAAAGGCGGTTTCATTTTCTTGAATTCTTTCATAAGCGTAATTATTCGGTCCTCGGCCTGATAGTCTTGCGCCACTGGCGGTGATACAGGCACTGGTGGCGACAGTGGTTGTTGTTGCTATTGCCTCAGAGTTTCTGCCATTTTCCGAATCATCCTTTCCATTCTCTCCAACCGTGTGGAGATAGAATCCTCCGAGTCATACATCCTTGTCCTCACCATGATCTACATATCAAAAGATTATAATACACACAAAAGATACACAAGTATACATTGGCAATATGCATTTCATGATACATGTCATTAATCATTGCAGATACAAATCTCATCGCTATATGTCATTTTGTATGCACCAAGAAGTAAAATATATGTAACCTAAGTCTTTCTAGACTCTTTAAAGCTCAATGGACTCGTGTGTGAGATAGCAACTCGTGCTCTAATACCAACTGTCACGACCCAAACCTGCCCGTGAAAGTTTGGACATGACTGACCTGTATATAGGCCTCAAAACAAAATAATTAATAATTATTTCACACAACACCGGGGCCTAAGACGAAAGCAAATATAAAGATGAAGTGAAACGTCCCTTGAATAGTGTCTAAATGCTAGGATCTTAATATGCACCTCATATACATAGGGCATTTACATAGATAGTTCAAGTTCCAACACGTCATGTCATGCAAGTCTATAGAAAAAGGGGTAACAACCCAAAATTTACATATACCAATGTATCCATAGTGTAACATCATGGACTTAACAAAATGTGGCATACAAAAGAACCCACAAAAGCAAAAAGGCTCCACTTAGGAAGCTCAACAAAACTGGTTCGACAAGAAAGCTCTTGGGGCTGACCTAAGGTTGGCCTCTTGGCTGATCACCTACATCATATAAATAAATATAGAGTGAGCAAGGCTCAGTGAATAATAGAAACGTAAGGAGATTTATGTGAATGAGCGTAATCTTGTAGAGCATAATCATAACCATAAGTCATAAGTTGGTCTTATTCGGTTTAACATTTCTGAACGGCCTGGGGCCCACATTAGACAGAACGGCCTTAAGCCCAGCATAAGACAAAACGGCATTGGGCCCATCATATCAACAGCTGTTCGGAACCTTATAGGGTAGATGGAACATCGGCATGTTTCCATCACTCTCCGCCTTAGAGCTGTGAATAATAAATAGTCCATATTAGAACGGCCTCGGGCCCATTATTCACAATCAAAGCAGAACAACCTTGGGTCCATTGCATACACCATTGTTCAATCATTCTCGTTATTCCAACTAACACATTTCATATAACAAGCACCATTCACAAGTAAAAATATAAGAATCATGGTCATAATACATTAATGAAATATATCGCTACATTACTATTACTCATAGTGATGTAGTCGAGCAACAGTTCCTTTTAGCACGTGACCTACACAAGGCACACACGCACTTGTAAGTCATTCACTTTTCTTTGACCCTTTTCATTTGTTCGATTTGTTTAGTTCCCATTTATTCATCAGCACGTTAGAAGGCTCAAATATACATATTAACAGTTCCAGAGGGTCAAATAGTGAAAAAGAAGCTAACAAAAATTCTTTCCATTGGCCGCACCTGCGGAAGTTCTCCACCGCACGTGCAGGAAGGTGCGCTACACATGCAGCTCTGCACGTGCTTTTATTTCAGAATGCCTTAGTCTGCCTCCCCTATAGACGTGCCTGCGAACTCCTGGCTCCTCGCACGAAGGCCCGAATTGTAGTTCTAGGCTACTACAAGTTCGGACACATGTCACGGTTCTGAATCTAATCTCACAAAGTGCAATGTGAGACTAATAAATCACCAAAGAGTCCAAAGCCGACAAATTGTTTTGAAAAACTGATTTTTATAAAGAAGTGCCAAACATGGACTGCTTTGCAAGATACAGAGTCGCTACCTAAATATTTTATTTTGGAAAATTTAAGAAACCCTGACTCGTGCCTAAGGCAACGTGTCCGTCATCACCAAAGTTGCCTCGGCTCAAGAACTTGGGTACGAGAGGGGAAGGTCATGCAATGAGGGCCCCAGCTCGCCCGATCAAAGATCGGCCTGTACTAAGCACGATATTTTGTTTTTGAAAACACATGTGCTCTTATTCCGGTTAATTAGCTAATCTTACTACGTGGTGCGCACAGCATACAAGTATAGACTAGATAGCCTAATTTGGAACAAAACATTGCATGTTTGTTTGTTTGAAAACAGTTTGAAGTTTGTTACTCGCAAGTAGGCTAAGATGCAGATTTTGATGAATTGTTCCAATTCAAGTAATTCAACCTTCACCCACAAGCAGTTAATCAAATAAGCAGTTAGCCTCATGACAAGCATGCTTTCATGGCAACATTAACACGCATGTAGTATGCTAAAGCGTAAACACTCACGGTGTACTCCGAGCCAAAACAAAGAACTAGTTAGAAATCATGCATGATCCTAGTTCATGTTAAGATGGCTAATGCAACAGATACGAAATGCAGCTAAGATAGGCTCGGCTATCTAGAATGTCATGTGAAATGCAACTTGGTAACATGCTGTTAAACACGTATTCAAGTAGATGTATTGAAAATACAATGCCGTTTGTATGATGCGCCGAGCCCGGTGCATGCGAAACAGATGAAACAATGCCGTTTGTATGATGCGCCGAGCCCGGTGCATGCGAAACAGATGAATAGATGCACACATGCGAAGCATAAGGTATGCTAAATGAAACATGCCCTAAAACAAACCATCGAAAGCGGTTAAGTAAAAGGGAGAAAGAAATGGGAGTTAGAAGACATGCATCACACACACGCACGCTTATTATAACAATTGGCCCTCTCGACGGAGAGTCCGAATAAGAAGCTGACTAGCTAATCTAAGCTAATTAAACTACTTATTACACAACGAAGCTAATTAACTAATCCTAGTTAACTAACTATTACAAAACAGTTTCATTAGCTAACTACACTAGCTAATTAAACACGAACAAATAGCTAAACACATTAACTATTTAGGTACAAAACCAAAGCATAAACTAGCTAAGGAAAGCAGTAAAACAAGGTCCTCAAAAGGAGAAGAGTGCATGCATGCCCGGTCGCCTCGTTCGGAAATCTGTCGTGATGCCCCAATTTACCTCTATTTGCAGCTGCTCTCAGAAACTTACACCAAGCTCCAGATAGCTTCTAACTCACCTTGGGAACCTGTGGCAGGGTGGCTGACCAGTTATTGGTGTGGGAGACCACCTGCCGACCACTTTTTGTTGTTATAGGGCAGAGAAAATGGTCGGACAGCTAGTTTTTTTGGCTGGGCGACCAGTTGTTACTGCATTTTTCCATTTTGCTGCAACAGAGAGCAAGAAAGGGCATGGCAATGTATTTGTAAGATATGTGTGCACAACCACCCTCCCTATCATTTCATAAACTCAAGGGAGTATGGTTCTCGACCCTCTGGCCACCAATCGCGCATTTTAATGCATGATGGCCGACAGGCGAAGTTGCAAAATTCAATATGGAATGAATGCATACATAAACACATAAGGCCTAAAACTCTATCATGTATAATCAAGAGCGTCAACGTCAGCGATTGGAAATTAAGGCACGTTTCATCACTTCAAGTATGAAACGTCCCTCATTTCCCGTGTTTGGACTAACACCTATTCCAAACACAATGCAACACATAACATGGCATGCACAATGCTATGTCACATGGAGTGTGGAAAAATGCAATGCAGCACAAGCATGCAAATATGCAATATAACTTAAGCATGCAAGCATGCAATGCAACATGAACAACCTAACAAGGCTAATGGCATGCACAATGCACAATGCACAATGCTAAGAGCAACATGGCCCAATTAATGCAATGTGACATGATTAACTTAACAAAGTTAACAACATGCAAACTATGCTAATGAATGCACAATGCAAACAACAACTAGCATACACAATGCAAATGACAACTAGCATACACAATGCAAATGGACACGGCATACACAAATGCAATGAACCAACATGCAAACAACATGGCATACTCAAAGCGATGAACTACATGGCATACACAATGCTTAATGGACTTAAACAAAAATGGACAGACCCCAGCCATGTCCAAATCAGTGGCCATAATGATGAAACCAAGGCACAAAAGACAAGGCATGCATGCACAATGCACTGGCCATTCAAGTAGGCCTAAGAACATAACCCTCAAGAAGGCTCAAGGAGTGACAAATGCGGAAGTGTAACAATACTAAATGCACTGAACTTAAGTAAGAAATGATGCCAAATCATTCAATCAAACACAAGTATAGCATGCAAAGGTCCTAAAGCATGAAAGCTAATAAAGAGGACTACAAAGGAGGTATGCAATACATGGCAAATATGCATGAACCAACCACGGACAGAGCTGGAATAGGTCAAAACAATGACCAAAACATGCTAAGATGGAGGCTCAAAGACCTAGGCATGCAAGCATACACACTAGGCCACAAGCAAGGCGACAATGCACAACACTCAAAGGCACTTAAAACATGAAAGAAGTGGGAATATAGTCATGCTATAAGCTCTGAAATGAAGTATTAAATGATGCCAAATCATCTAAATAGCTCAAAGA